AAAAAAAAGAGAGTTTAAACTGAAATCATTTTTTTTTTTACTAAAATTATTTACAAATTTATATGATTCTTTTACTAATTGTTAAACATCATTTAGCATTAATTAGTTATAATAATCATAATGACTATTTGCAACAACAACAACAATACAATCGCAAAACAACAATAAAAAATAGCTAAGCACATTTTTTGACGGAAATTCATTCAAGTTCATTCAGAAAACACATTCATTCATAAAGTACGAACAAGTAAAATTTTTTCAAGCAGAAAATGAAAAATTCATGTAAAACAAATGTAAAACTAAATACATGCGAGTGCGGTATGCTCAGGGCGGAAAACTTCACATCTCCCCCCTTTTAATCCGGAGGATTATTACAATATAATAGAAAAATGACATTAATTGAAAAATCATTAAAAAATGTTAAAAAATATTTAATTTTAACAAAATAAAAATTTACAAAATTAAACACCACTACAATTATAAGTGCCATTAATATGATGTGTTGATGCTATTCTTTTTGAAGTTCGAATAAATTCATATTCTTTCAAAAAAGATATAAAATAGCATACAAAAATCATATTTAGAACAATCCAAAGAATAGTAAAAATACTTAAATAAATCATCCACCAAGGGTCTTTTTTATCATCATTGATCTTTTTATCTTGAACAATGATTGAATTATTTCGACAACGACGAGTTAAACGTCGAATACGTTGTTCTGAGATTGGTTTCTGATCAATATCATCATCAATATCAGCATCATAATTTTTTGATTGTTCTGTTCTAAAGATAACAATCATTTCCATGATATCGATCTGATTATCATCTTTTTTATTGATTGTAGTTTTCTTTTTTCCAAAAAAATTCATTTTTTTGATTTTTTGTTTTAAAAATTGATTCGATAAGAAAGATAAGAAATATTGTCAAATGCAGTAGTGTAATATTTTTCAAAATGAAAATTCTCATACAAAAACTGTTTCAAAATTTATATAATTTATTTGGTAATTGTTTCATCAGAAACAATCAAATTATTCTTTAATTAATTAACATGATTGCAAACCAAACACCATCAATACAAAAACAACAGCAATAAACTTTTACAATTTACAATAAGTTTTAAATATTTTCGTTGTTTATAATTTTTCCTAGTTATTATGATAATAATAATATGGCATACAAAAGAAAAATAAGAATTAATTTAAAAACAAGTCACTGTCTGTTTATATGCATGGACAGCACAGCTGACGTATGACATATGACCTATATGATTAACAGTCAATGTTTAGCAATACATGACCTGAATATTCATGCAGGGTTATTTTGCGATTTTCTTGGCACTGAACTAGAGCGCCATTCAACGTGATCGTAATGTGACTAATGGAAATTAAAAAATATAAAAGTTAAAAAAATTTAGAAAATTCATTTATTGAAAGGGACGACGATTTTTATTTAATAAATATTTTGGATATTTAACACATCACCACCACTAATTATCCAAATTGGTATTATTTGTTGTTGTTGAATTTTGGTGTTGATGGTTAGTACGTTTTTTCAATAATAATAATAAAACAAACAGGACTAACATAAATATGAAAAACCAAATCGGTGCTATAATTCGGATATGTCGTAGCCACCATGGATTTGGATTAGTATTATAATCATACGATGAGTAATACGTGCAGCGACTATCTCGACTGCGATGATGACGACGTCTACGACGTCGTAAAAACGGACGTTCATCATTATCATCATAATCACCATCATAATCTTCTGATTGTTCAGAATTATAAAAATTTATAATGGCGTCATTATTATTATCGAATTCATTGTCATCTGAATTGAAAAAACNTAAAACAAACAGGACTAACATAAATATGAAAAACCAAATCGGTGCTATAATTCGGATATGTCGTAGCCACCATGGATTTGGATTAGTATTATAATCATACGATGAGTAATACGTGCAGCGACTATCTCGACTGCGATGATGACGACGTCTACGACGTCGTAGAAATGGTCGTTCATCATTATCATCATAATCACCATCATAATCTTCTGATTGTTCAGAATTGTAAAAATTGATTATGGCGTCATTATTATTATCGAATTCATTGTCATCTGAATTGAAAAACAACATTTAGTTAATTAAAATTCTAATTGAAAATCTAGTCTAATTTACCCCTGACTTGATTGAGATTTTGAATGCGATCAATGTTATTATTTAAATCGCCCAGTTCATTATCATCGTCCGATCCAAAATCACCATCAATAGCCATGACAGAACTGGCTGGTGATTCATGTGGGACTGATTCCAAAGTATCTTGGAAATCTTGATATTTTGGGAAATCGATAGCATAATCGATTTCCTCCATTGGCCATCGGTTTTCAGTACCGGGCACAAAACGTGGACTGGATCTCCACTCGACTTCATTATNAAAAACAACATTTAGTTAATTAAAATTCTAATTGAAAATCTAGTCTAATTTACCCCTGACTTGATTTAAATTCCGTATGCGATCAAAATTATTGTTTAAATCGCCAAGTTGATCATCATCATCAGATCCAAAATCACCATCAATAGCCATGACAGAACTGGCTGGTGATTCATGTGGCACAGATTCCAAGGTATCTTGGAAATCTTGATATTTTGGGAAATCGATAGCATAATCGATTTCCTCCATTGGCCATCGGTTTTCAGTACCGGGCACAAAACGTGGACTGGATCTCCACTCGACTTCATTATGATATGTTTCATTGGTATAGTAATCGAGCCAATGAAATTCTCGTGATATGTCACTAGCATTGCCAATTCTTTCTTCAAATTGGCTTGTGGTTTCTACATAATCGGTAGGATCATTGATTATTTGCATTTCGATCCGTTCCGATTGGTTTTCATTATCGGCATTGTTATTGTTAGTGGTGGTGGTTTTGTCTTTTTCTGTTGTATTTGTCATTTTTGTTGTTTGTAGTGTGATTTGTTTTTTGATAAATTGATTCAATATTCGTAAAAAGAATGAATATCGTAGTGTAAATTAAAAATTTTTCACTAAAACTATTCCCAAATTTATATGATTTATTTGGTCATTGTTTCATCGACAAAATTCAATTTTCCCTAATTAATTAACAATGACCAACAACAACAATAAACTTTCTAGTAAAACCAAATATGATCACAATATAAAATAAAATCATCTGCATAATCTAGGAGATGATTAAAAAGTATAAGTGTTAGTAATAAATGATCGACACAAGTAGAAAATAACAACAACTTTAATTTATTTTATTAAAATCAAACTTCAACTCTCTACACCAACATTACATCACAACAAATAAAAACAAATAGACAAATGACATCAATCAATGTATGTCTTTATATACAATCATCAAACCGCATGATTAAATGAACGTGACACGATGTCATAGTTCTAACAATAAGTGAAAATTATTGCTAAAAAAATCAATAAACCCGAATAGTAAATTACTAAATTTTTCGTTAATGAATCGATC